ACAGGGTGGTTTCTTTGGAGAAGGCAGACCCAAACATCAATTATACTCCAAACCCTCTCTCCCAAAGCTAAGGATAATCTTCCTCAGCAGGGCTCAATTATAGGTTATTTCTAGCTAGACCCAGTCCGTATTGTGTGCTGCATAACGCCAAGTCTTTCAGTGCAATCAATGAGAAGAATGCCTAACCTGTGTAAATCAGAGTAAACAATGTTGTGCTTTTATCTACACTGCACTGGGAAGAGAAAGTTAACTTTTCGAAGGTCAGAGAGACAATGACAATTTTCCAAAAACACAACACTACCATCATTCATTACCTCTGAATACAGGAACAATTACTCACAAACTTATGAAGATTCTCCATTATACCATGTGAATTTCCCACCACACAGCAATGCCATTCAATCTTAAGTGTTCTACAGATACAACTTGAGTGACCATAAAGCTAGGTGCTAGCATGCCGAGTAGCTGGTTAAAAGACAATATTTAATTGAATAGCAAGGTTGTGGGCCAGATTTCTGTGCAGTTCCTCACTGTATTCGTTTAGTTGTCCAGTTAATAATTTAGCCATGTCCAAATGCAGACACACACACACACACACACGGATCCAACTTATCCGTCTAGGTAGAGAGGTAATAAACTATAATCTAGTCAAATAAAGGACAGACGGTATTTTATGACATGGAGGCATCATATCACATTGTATGGGAGCTGCCCAAGTGGCACCAGGTGAACTGCTGAGAGGTCAAGGGCCATCCAAGCAGGTACTTAAGGAAACACATCAAGGATATTTGTGTAGTCACAAGTTTCAACCCCAGGTAAAAAAAAAAAAAAAGACACCTGATGTTTACGAGTTAAGGCTAGTAATAGGAAAAGGAAGTACTAGTTTCAAATAACAAAATAAGTTACAGAGACAAAAGCTGCTTGTATGCAGACCACTGGAAATACGACACCCAAAAACCTGTAGCAACTGATCACTGCTGCAGAGTTCAAACATACCACAAGGCTCAAAAACAACAGTCGAGAGTTTTTTGATTAATTGGATTTTTTCATGAATTAAGAAATAAAATTAAGAAACTGAAAAGAAACTATTTCGGTACTACATAATATTTTTGTAGTCACCACTGAAATACTGAGTTGACAGTTAATCCTTGCAGGGGGCAGCTTAGTGAGGGGCCACTGTGGGGGCATTTTACAGAGCTTGGTTTTTCATCCCCATACTCTTCAATGCCATTAATGTCTTACCAGATTAAACCAAACACACTAATTCACTGGAATTATGGCCCAGATAATCACAGATAGATGCCTATGTACAATCTAGGGGGATTCCCTCTAGTTTGAGCATGTACAAGAGAATACACTACACATCTGTACTGCCATCAGAGGCTTATCCTGGCAGGGATGAGGGGGGGGATCAGCTAGTTGCAAAGACTGATGGTCCAGTAGGCCTGAGGTTAATACGACATTGCAAAATCTTGTGTATAAAATGCTTAAACTATGTGGTGTACCACTTCATAGCAAATTCACATTAGCAGCCCTGTGATAGCCAACTGACATTAGACTGCAGCAAAAATTAGCAGAAATTAAACTTTGTGCCACCTCCTTGTAACCGCACAGCTATTCATATGTAAATGCTTAACTGATGTAATATAACTTTTTCATGCAAATTTGCACAACATAGTTCCTTTTACTCAGAACATAGTCCACCCTCATGTAGGCCCATGAGAGAATACAAACTGACTTTTCTTCTGCCACTGTGCCTAAGTCTGAAATATTTTGGCCGTCTCCACCTCCAGCCGCACAGTGGACTGACCAGATTCCTCTCTGTCTGTGTCCAAGTGCTCGGGTCTGTACAGAACACGAACAACCGCCTCATTGTATTCATGATGCACTCTGAACAGGGAGAATTGAGTCCTCAGAGGAATGTTAGATGCAAAGCTGACAGTTCTCTCACTGTCATGCCAATGCATAAGAACAACCATGCCTGGGCATGTTATGGCTTTACTCCCTTCAAACGCCCCATCTTTAAAACTGTGCCCTCTCACTAACACAATTCTTCTCTTAGACATAAGCATATAACACAGCTTTACTTCAGTGTTTCGTGTCCCAGATAAAGCTAGTGTATTACAAAACACTAGGTTAACTGGGTTAACTATGTGAGACTCCAAACAATCTCGTTGATGATTTCGTAGTCTGACGCTAGTCGTTTTTACAAAAGAGAAAAACCTAGGACCAAAATGAGAACTAGCTGCATTAAAACTGGCTAGCGTGCAGAAGGGTAACGTTCATGGTAGCTTTTAGTTAGCAACTAGCCTGGTGTTGATACTGTATTGACCAAACTGCTAATGTTGAGCAGGAGGCTAGCTAGCAGCAGCAGCATCAACTTGATTTGGCTGACCAGCCAGTTGTCAACTATAAGTTAACGTTAAATATGCTAGTATGATAGCAATGTTCACAGCCCAGCTAGCTACCTGACTGCAATAATACTAATGACAAAGGGAACGCTGAACGGTGTTTTCGACTTAAGTTGCAAGGTAGCTAGGCGATTAACTCACACTAGCAGAGGAGCCAAACTCCTTCTTTAGCATGCTACGGCAGCCAATTTTGGTACCACAGTTGGAAAGCTAACGTTCACCTCAATGGTAAAGTTAATCACGGAACTTGACGTAAGCCAACGTTAACTACATTAGATAGCAACCGCCGTTTCCACAATTATTTCATTATTCGTTTAGCTGATGTTACTCACAACTTTTGTTTCCTCTCCCTTCACTTGAGCTAGGTAGCTAGCTTGCAGACGTTTTTTCATTTGCCGAACAAGCTTCAACGTCCTGGCCCTCCTCCATTGGAAGGATTTGCGTAGCGGTGTGATTTTTTTTTTTTCTATCTGTTTCGGTGTTGGGAGAGCTCCACTGTCAGAACAGACGGCAGCCTGCTTGTCCCGCCTCCTTGATTGTGATTGGCTTACGTGGTGTACGCCTACATTAAAAGGCGGCTTTCTATTTCACCAAATACGTGGCAATCCCGAGGAGACGACCTGTTGATTGGATGACGTCCTCGGGGGTGACATTCACATGGGTCCACTTTTTTTCACACCCAGCGTACACCGAAACGTGCACGGGTAGGCGGGTACTTGAGAAAAGTATACAAATATGTTTTGTGCGTACACCACACATAAACACTTTGTTATTTAAAAAAATCTTAAAACTGACTAAGTCTTACTCTGTCATCTACACATGTACGATGTAGAACTGATGGCATGACTATAGTAAATGTTTTATAACATAGGCTACTACAATGTAGTTCTAAGCAAACATAAAAAAAATATATATATTTTTAAGTTTATTAATGTATAAGTTAACAGCTATTACTCCTCATGCGAAGCATCCCTATCATATATTTACAGCCATGTTACACTGTATTATCAATCATTCATTATTTGTTTATATACAGTTATGCAGCTATGTACAGTGGATGCTTCACTGGAGACATAATAATTGTTTGCATTAATGCATTAATAAGCCTAAAAACTACACTATGGTTTGTTATAAGCAACATATTAATTTGTTTATAAATGCAAAATATTGGGGGTATAAGTAATATTTCTGTAATCAAAGCTTTTAAATCTGCAGTTATAGAGCTTCTTGCAATCTAGATGCCTCAGTAATGAACAATTTTAGGTCCATTACAAACCTGTTTTTAAGTGTAACTATTTAAAGAACTATTTTCTAACAACTCAGCACTTTGTTGGCATCAAAAAATAGTTCTGGTATTGTCTGGTCTAATTTTTAACTAGACTGCAGCACAGAGACTGCTCTTGTCAGGGTTTTAAATTGCATTTACTTAAACATAGACTAATATAGAAAAAAGGTTAATAAACTTGGTTGGATTTTTCTGGCACAAGCCTACATTGGTTCAAATCATATTTTAAAGATATTGGTGGCAACATATTTGAGCTATTGAGTCAGCTATTCACTGACCTTTGTTCAACCTCTATAGCTGAAATTATGCAAAGCAACATCTTTTACCATAGTTAAACTATCAGCACTCTGATCCACATAGCTGTATGAAATGACTATGGTCCTATGGAACTGCTTAATAAGTGCATTGAGTAATGAACCATGCATGACATATTTTGGAAAATCATGGTGCACACCTAGGGAAGATTTTAAACAGCGATATCAAGATATAAGATCTCTTAGATGACATTGACAGATCAATTTTTAAAGTAAGACGTATAAAACTTTGTCAAAACATTTATTTATAGGCAGATGCTACTGTTCTGGATTCTCAGGGTTCAGTTCAGCTTCAGAGCAGGAAAGCAGAGTACCTTAGTCCAGTTCTCAGGTCACTGTCCTGGCTTCCTGTGTCCTCAACCTCATCCCTCCTCAAAGGATTCATTTTAAAATACTTAGTGTTCATTAATCTCCAAAATACATCTCTCATCTGCTTCTGTGCTGCAATCTCTCCTAACTGGGACAAATTTTCTTACTGTTCAAGAAGTGAAAACAAAACATGGTGAAGTAGCTTTTCTTCTGTGTATGTACCATAGCTTGAAGTTTGTCCTAGATATGTTGTACATACAGTACCAGATGTAACTTGTGGCGCTGTAATCTACTTGTATGTCAATGTAGGCAAATCATCAGTCCAACATAGAAAGATATCATTAGGTAGGCCACAGAAGATTACCATAGCCAAAGAATACCGTATTTAAGGAAATAGAGCTAATAAACCTGGATGTTTAATTGTATTGTATTTGAATATTTAGACACCTAAAAGCAAAGCTTGTCCTGCAGCATAAACAATAAAGTTTCCATCACTCAAACAGCTCCTGAGGCCTTCTGCTGATACACCTGTCCCAAAAAAGATAGTGCTCTTGGTTAAACAGGGCAAACACTGTGGTCACTCTATGTGCAGTGTACTGTCATTTGCACAAAGAAAGGTTAGATTTATGTCCAGTAGGCTGTTAATTTTCTTTATTCAAAATAAGCAAACGTGAGCATACACAGGATGATTGCAATTATTTAAAAAACTGTACTGACAATAACATTTGTGCGAATTGGTTCTAAACATGTTCATCAAAAGCAAAACAGACACTTGTTTCATACATTAGGCAATGTCTTTTTCTCTTTAGTTGTTGTGCAAAAGTCTGTTGCAGCTGATAATTGAACCACATGACATACATTACAAAAGATCTGTGATTGAAAGTGTAGTAGCGCCCTCTAGTGGGACTTTGTGCATGGTTTGACATGAATGAATATCAGGTACAGTATGTCAGAACAGATGCTTTAGACAAATTATGAGCTGTATTTATAACATTTAAGAAAACAATAAAGCTGCTACTGACAGAGCCACGCTGACACTCAGTCCTTCAGTGTGTACAGTGAGTCAATGTACAAAACTCTACAATGAAAATAGGGACCAGCACTCAAATACTGCAGTATTACTTTTAGTTAATAAGTGAATTGCCATTTTCTTTACGATTTGCTATAGTTTACATGTTTGAGTACTTAGCAGTAGTTTGTATTAGTTACTATATAGCTAACTCATAGACTGTGCACTAATCCATTGTTAATAGAGTTGTATGTACTGTATGTTTTCATAGCTCCATCATCATATGATCCATTTACCTCTAGCTCTTCACTTCCTCTGCAGGTGCAGCTTGAGACGTTTTCTTACACTCTTCACACACATGGTGGCAGGATCTGTTGGGATAACACTCCGGTCAGTGAGACAGCCAGGCCTAAGAACATTTATCACTCCTCTTCATCTGAAGCAAAGCCAAGCAGAGCAGAGCAGAAGTCACGTTGCTTCTTTGGGTATTTTGTTAAATGACATTTTTGTTTTGTTAGACGGTGCAAAAGATGACAAAAAGTGGGAAAATGGCTCAGAGACCAACATAAAACGTCCTTTCTTCCTAGAGGTCCAAAGAGACGCTTGAGAGATGAGATGTAAAACTATATAGAGACTACAAATATATCTTCTTATGGATATCAAAACTTAAATTAAACCACCAGAAAAGTGTAAAATATGGGACCTTTAAAGTAGCTCTTCTTCTAATTAGTGACCCTGCTCTTGACAGAATCTGTGTACATTAGTAACTGAAACGCAGCTTCACATTTATTCCAGAGAATAAACTTCCTCCATGACAATGTGATGATAAAATCTATAAACTCTCCACCTGTGTCCCATGCGACCTCCCTTAGACTAGGATCCAAATCCTGGTCCATCCCCAACGCCAAGCTCCTGGAACTTGCTTCGACAAGTTTCAACATAAGATGCTTTCCCCACTGCATAACCAAGGATCCCAGCGACTGAGACAAACAACAACAAAAAAATCATAGTTAGGGGCCAATGATTGCTGAGAGATTGTTAAAAGCATTGCTATTGATAAACTGAAGTCCAGTTTACTGTCCGGTACAGACCTGCTAGTTTTGGAAAGGGACCAAATCGTTTTGATGATTTCCAAATACCTGCATGGAAATAAACGTCACCTTAAGCCAAATGGGATCATTACAAAAGTCATCGCTTTACATGTGTCATTATTATAAAACGAAACAATATAGTGTGAAAGTCAGTGCCTTACCATTGTAGATCAGACCACCAGTGACAGCCATGCTGCCCAGAGAGAAGGGAAGAGCTACATAAAGAAATAAAATAAGGTCAAAAAAGACAACAGTCTGAAACTGATCACAGCTTTACAGTGACAGACATTTGGAGACATACCGTTAGAATCAGAATCAAGTCTGATTCATTACATCCTCCACACAACTTTCTGTCAAAAGCAGTAAAAGTTCAGTGTTAAAGACAAACATAGTTTTAGATAGAAGCATCATGTTAATCTACAGTTTACAGAATCATTCATAAAGTCCCTGCAAAACAAGTGGCAGATAAAGGCTGATGATTGATTAATCACTCCCCTTATTCGCTCCCCTGAAAAGACGCATTCACTTCCTATCATGGATTGATCCTGCCTTGCTTGTCTTGTGCAGAGTTCAATCTGATCGAACTTTGACCCGAGGGGCCCTGTTCAGTCTCGGGTGATGGGATCACAAGTGGACAGCTCCGAGCACATCGGTTCACACCTGGCATTACAGTGCGTCTCCATGTGTGACAACAGAAGAACGGCTCTCACTTCCCAGAGAGAGAATGTGAGTGAATGGATGAATGTGGCAAATATTGCAAAGCGCTTTGAGTGGTCGATAAATTAAACTTGACATACAAGTGCAGTCCATTTACTATTTACTTAAGATCGGATCACCTGAGACGGGGGTTATTACCAGGTACGAGCGTGTCCATAACAGAGGGACTCAACAATTTGTCCACCTAACTTGAGGTAAAGCACGGGACTGATTTCTCATCCAGGAAGTTCACTGATTGCTGCCATTTCATGTAAGTGCAAGGTGAGAGAGCAGGAGCAGCAGCTGCACGCCAGGCGGTGAGGGAAAGGTCGTGAACGGAGGCTAAAAACATTTGTGTTGACACATAAAACATGGATCATTCGTAGTTTGTGGATCTTACTTTTAGCTGGTCAGCCGAGCTAGCTCCAGCAGTTTACTTCTTACAACCCAGACTGTTTTCTGTGTGTGTGTGCATGACTAGCATGTTCCTGAATCGCTTGTTATTTTTGTTCCGTTTGTTGAGGCAGGTCATTTATCAAGGATTCAGTTAGGTATGTGGACCTGGGTGACTACAGGACACTCCCAACATAACTCCACCCCAACAAGATCCAATCAGCCACAGTAACTTCAGACACCTGTGTGGTCTCTGAATTCACAACAACAAAAATAAGCACAGCGAATCAGAGTAAACACCTACTGTGAGTGTAGTGAAACGGGCTACAGATTGAATACACAAAGAAAGCAATTAGTGAATAGGTTGATAAATAAGCCCTGTCCCACTATGTCTACCACAATGGACGTATGCAATACACCTGGAAGAATATATCCATGCATTGTGCCCTCACACCTGAAATCATTTGACAGATCTGTTGGCTTCCAAAGCTGCTATTGATTAAGAAGTAAATTAGTAAGAAGACAATACCTCTGTACCAGAAGCTTTCCTCTTGGCATTCCTTCCAAATCTTTCTCACATCTTCTCTATGAACGTGATGATCACTCACAGGGCACTGTAGGGACACAGAGGACATGTTAGGTATCACATCTGGCCCATGAGGGTCTACATCATCCTTGTGTCCTCTCACCTTCCACTCTCCTTTCACTGGAGCTGGATGAGCAGCAGCAGCTTTTGTTCCCTCCGTCTTCACTATTGTAGTTAGTCCAGTTGTTTCAGAAGTCATGATGCAGGAGCTTCCAGCAATCCCTGTTGGATCTGTGCTGTGCAACTTACTCAGGCACATAAACTCTCCCTTTCTCAGTGCCTCAGATTTTGCCAGCTGTAATTGCTCCTCCCTCGATTATTTATTTAACTCCGCCCCACTTGAAAAAAAAAAAAGACTGGTGGCCCTATCCATTTTAATATGAAACAAATCAGGTATGGGCTATAAAACTAGTGCTAAGATATAGTGTTAGGCAGGAAAATCAAATTGGATAATGTTTAAAAGAATCGCCAAGAGCTGTGTCATTCAAAAATGTTTTCCTATTTGTCGTAGGGGGTGAAAGAGTCACATTAAGCCCTACAGTTCCAGTTTCGGTTCACCTCTGTACGCCTATCTGTAAATCCAAGCAGGACACACCTTTATGTAGAGAAGTCGCCATTTCTTTTATGGAATTGTTTAAAAGAAACACATGGGTACTGATAAAATATTTACCATTTACATGAACAAACAAGCATGTTGGTCATACTGTAGGTCCAGCTGTTGGAAAATGTTAACATTAGACCAACTGGTTGTTATAGTTTTATCATAACCTTCTAGTTTTAATGCTTTGGGGATGTGACATAATGTACAACACAAAGACAGATTTTAGATTACCCTAAAATCCATTCATATGACGTTTATTTTACTAATACATAAATATTTCTTACTTTAACGTAATAAAATGTTACTGACAAATGATCAAACTAAATAAGGAAATGTTATAGAAATGTAAATGCAAAGGAGAAACAATACTGAAATGTCTCTCTTCATTAAAACAATGCTCCTAGTAGCCAAAGGTCAGTGACAGGTTTCTTTGTAGGTCAAAGAAATATGTTTTTTATAAGTTAAATCAAAGAATGATTTATTACCCCTGATAAACACACAGTGATATTGGAGCACATGTCAAAGAATTGCCCAGCACAGTAAAAGCATTGTGTAGTACAGTAAACGCAGATTCAAAAGGCATCATTGAAATATTGCGACTGTTTTGTCACAGGTAAAGTACAACAATTCACAGATCTTAAAAAAAATCTAATAAAGAAAAGTAAAACCATTTTTTCATCAATTTACAGTTATTACAATAGACTGCACATACAGTAAATCACAGCATTTATTTATTTAAGATGAAAATAAAACCTTGATGACATTATTCATTAATAATAATTTAGCCTACCAGAGGTGGAAGAAATATACTGATCCTTCACTTACCTAACATAGCAATACTACAATACGAAAGAATAAAAATACACCACTACAAGTAAAAGCATTCATAATTTTGCTGAAGTAAAATAAGTAAATACTGGATTGTGTATGTGAGCACTGAGCATTGTAGTGTTGTGGCTAGTGCAATTAAAATGTTACATACTGCTGGATAGTTTAATCTATAAAAATGCATCATATTTCAGGGGATATGTTTTATTAGATAAATGTGATGGAGTTATAATTTCCCTGTAGTGGAGTTAAAGTGTGAAGTTGCACAAAATGGAAATGGAAAATAATAAAAGTACCTCATAATTGTACATACTTACAGTACTTGAGTAAAAGCACTTACATCCCACCACTATAAACTACTGCAAAATAAACAGTAGTTCTACTCCTGCAGGCAGAAGAGATGGTGACAGTAATGACACAGACGGCTGTGGTCATAACAGCCATTGCAGTGGACTAACCAGCAAGCAGTTTACCCAGCCAGCTCCACACTGAAGGTAATATGAATTTAGTGAAAATGGTGGCATTCAGGGGGCTGGTCTTTTCAACTGGCTGGTCAACTTGTGTCATCTACCCTCAGTCAAACACTCACTCCCGTTTACTAGCTAACTCGTTGACCAGTTGTACAGGGTGACATAATTCAGCTCAATGTAACTGATTTAAAAAAAACAAAACAACTTGGGGGACCAGCAACGTAGCCACATTTTAACGCATCCGTTCGTTTTGGTTGCCATGTGGGACTTGTAGTCACCTGACCACCGGTTGCTAAACATAGAGACACTGAGTGAAGCGTTATTTGGGGCAGGACCTCTGCTAATACCCCGGGCTTCTACCGACCTCTAAAGACCGGTGAGCACGTAGGGACAGAGACGTAAAAGCGCCGTGGCTGAGGTAGGATATTTCGTATTCCCAAACCATCGCGAAATTAGATATAACTCACACCGCCACCAACCTCCGCCCGCGTGGGTTCACATCAAACGAACCCCAACGGCAGCTACACTTGGGAGGTCAACTCATGACTGAATTGACCAATCAGATTCCATCGTGGGCTGGGTTTCAGGCTTGCACGAGGAAATTCTGATGATTGACGCGCTCATAAAAATCTCCGGACCAATGAATCGCAGAGATAGCGCAGCCTGTTTGGGAACGCTGACCAATCACATGTGCGCGCGGGAGGAGCCTATTTCTTTTCCCGCCTTCCCGTGACTTGACACCGTTGCTAACCAACCGACGGCCAGCGAAGGCGGAGACCGAACAGGCTCGTTTTCAATCATCGTTCGCGGGCGTGGTTTACGTTGACAAGGCCCGCCTATTGGCCGGTCTGCGGACTTCCCACAGACAGTTGTATGTTTCATAAAAATGCACTCTGATGCGGCAAGTAAGTAGTAACGTTATAGAGGCTTTCCTCGTCAAATTACCAGCCTTCGCGGAGGCAGCAGAGTTTGTCGGAGAGAAGCTAACAGTCGCGTTGTGTCTCTACGTCTTCTCTTAGCCCGCGGTTCTGTAGGATTTGATGATAACGCATGAATTCCGTGCTATTTGCTGGTTTCTTTGTATCTGCTAGTGCTGTCTTGGGCGACAACAAAGGAAGGATAGCTAGTGTTATTTCAGATGTTTGGGACGTGGAGGAGGTTACTTTTGACATGGCAGCTCTCCTGAACTTATTTATTTTGCTTAGCGTTAGCCGTGCTCAGCTGAACGCCGCCGACGTTAGTTAAATTGAGAAGGTTTTCGATGGTAATCGGAGCGTTGTGATCTATATAGTCCTCATCACTGAGGGTCCACTGTGCGTTTCAGCTCAGACTTGGCATCAATGTAGTGTCATTGTAAATCGGTCAATTTTCTGGTCAACTGCGGACTGTTACAGAGAATGAAAATTGTGACGCAGTTGTGGAAAACATCTTTCATTGCATGCTGCAGCAGTGCTGTCCGGCTTTGCGGCACCCACATAAGCTGCTGCAAAACGTCCGTGCAATGCTTATGTGCCAGTAGGTACATAATGTTAGATTTTTGAAACAATGTAAAATGCATTCAATCAGTTGGGGTAAATGTTGGGGGTAGAGGGGTCTGGAAGAAATAGTTGTTTTGTAAAGGCTTGGGATTTGTAGTTTACTGTCCCAACCAGAGCTGAGGTTTCAATGGCGCCTTTGAAGGAAATGGACTACAACGCCCATAGGCCCAACTCTCCAGATACTTTGTAAACTCTGTGCAAGTTGCGCGTCTGCACTGCTATTTTAGGTATGCAGCTAGTGCTATCTGTTCGGCTGTGTGTTGGTTTGCCTGGTTCTGGCCTCTGGAAATAAATGAAAAGCGTCGGTGTTTGATGACAGCTTGAGGAGGGGAATGTACAGATGACGTTTGGCAACGAGGTAGCATGCACGATCTAAACATTGTCGAGTTTTGCATGTCTTTCGAGGAATGCAGAGAGTCACTCCCTCGTTCGTGTGAGATATTTTTCTGTCCGTTTCTGAAACGTAAAACCCTTCAACTAGAAACCAGACCAAAGTGATTTGAGCACTGTAGAGTCTGCTGTGATTTCAGATGTGAATTGACATCTCATTTCAACCATAGGTTCTTGTTGGTGCTATGATGATGTCACCTTCTTGTACCCTTGTACCAAGCTTGCACAAGTTTGACTGGCAGTAGAAGGTTGAGTGTTATGTTTTAGTTTGAATTTTGATGTTACCTTTATTCTTTGTGGAAATAGATTTACAGCTGAATTCCCACTTGACTACACTGGCCAGCATCCATAAGATCCACCACACCTTGCACAGGCTGGTAAATACATGTTAGCAGCTTGCATATATTCATTTTTGTGTGTATGTCTGTATGTGAGCGTGCACCACCACCCATATGTGTCCTACTCACAAGCATGTGTTATTTTGTTTTCTGTCTGTTTTCATAGAACCTGACAGAAGACGTTGGACAGGATAGCCACCCCTCAGGTAATACTTCAGCCGGTCCCTGTGTGTTTAATAGTTAACAGTTTGTTAATTATACTGCTGCCAAAACTGTGTGTCTGTCTGAGGTCTGACTGCTGGCTCTTTGAGAGTTCATGCTTTCTCGATGTATTGCTCATAAGTTGCCCCCTTTTCATTCTGCCTTCTGTTTCCTTCCTTCAGCTTGTTGCTCTAGAGCCATGCCTCCTAGGAAAAAGAGGAGACCCTCTGCTGGAGATGACATGTCAGCCAAGAAAAGTCGCCAGGACAGGTGTGAAAACCCGTCGTTAAAGATTTAAAACAAAACAACTTAGTAACGTCGTTATAAATCTGTGTCTGTCTCAGTTATGCAGGGCCGTAAAGACTTTGGTTTGCATTTAGGAAAACTATGATAGGAAACATCCATTGAAATCACACTGACTACTGCGTTGCTGCTGAGCTTGAGACTAAAACTGTCTTAACATCTGCAGTGTTTTCAGAAAACATGAAACGTCACAAATTCGCGAGGAGGAGACATTTTCTAGTAAAAGGTGCTTGGAGTGGTTCTATGAATATGCAGGTGAGGTATTATATTTTGAAGCAGTGTGTACACACACACACACACACACACACACACAATACACACACAATACACATTCTTGGTTTAATCACATTCAGCCACTGACCAATGCCGTCGGTTTTTAGCCCCACATGTGAAATCGATGCTATATGTGGCTTCACACTTGTCCGTCTGAAATAGGTTGTGACGATGTGGTGGGTCCAGAGGGCATGGAGAAGTTCTGCGAGGACATCGGAGTGGAACCAGAGAATGTAAGTGGGTTTTATGCATTTTTGTTACATGTGTACGGTGTCAGTTTGCTTGCATTTTGCTCACTGTCTTTCTCTTTCTGGCTGCCAGTCAGACTTTCATTTTGAGACAACCTTTTCTAACTTGATGGGCTTTTCTCATCTTTTTTTGATGTTTTATAAAAACGTAAAGTTAGCACAATCAAAAAAAAAAAAAAAAGTGCAGACCTAGTTTCACTTCGGTGTCACTATTTACACTCATTCTTTGTTTCAGAGGTTATTGAGGTCAGTTGTTTTGTGTGTTTGACCTATAACAGTTTTGTGAGTGCAGTAGATGGATTGATAATCTGGATGAACACATCTTCTAATTAAGGATATCTGTAGCTATAAAGGTTGTTGTTTGTGTGTTCAGGTGGTGATGCTGGTTCTTGCTTGGAAGCTGGATGCCCAGAGTATGGGATATTTCACTCTCCAGGAGTGGCTGAGAGGCATGGGCTCACTGCAGTACGTCACTTACCTACTTTCTTTTTTTTTATTTTTTTGTCTTTTATCGTGTTGCTTTGCTGTGTTCTCTCTGGCTCAGGTCATGTTTTTTAAGAGTCATTCTCAGTAGTGCTTGTGCTGAAGTGTAGAGTTTGTCTAAGGAACCTCTCTGCTGTTGTCAGGTGCGACTCCACAGAGAGGCTGAGGAACTCGCTCGATTACCTGAGATCTGTCCTAAACGACAGCACCAGTTTTAAGCTCATTTATAGATATGCCTTTGATTTTGCTCGGGTGAGTCAAGCAACATCTTTTCTACACGGAAGCTCACATACACAACACGCCTAAAACAAAAAAAGTCCAGCTCAGTTCAGTTAGATCCCTGAAACAGTTGTTTCACCTGATTGAAATTCTTAAAAAGTCTCAAGCCAGCGCACAGACCTGCCTTGATGTCTTGGTAGGTCAAGATCGTTTTCCAGTTTGACTCAGAGGAGAAAGCACTTATCAAGTCTGTGGCCTATTTACATAGTCTGCCTTTTCACCTGTGCGTGATTTTAAATAAAGTAACTCTCTGATAAAGTGAATAAAAACATGACTGTGATAAAAGTGTAATATATATATATATATATTTTAACAATACTTTTATTGGGTTTTCTTATTTAACAAGAACAATAATAATAATAGATCAAAACAAACATATAGACCAGATCAACAGGCAAAAGCACAGAGAAAAAGTTTAAAAAAACACAGCTCAGGTTGACAGAAGTAAACAGGAGGCCACAGGAAACAGTCCACAATACAGGCAAATCACAGGTCACAAGAGCCCAGATTCACGAGTTCCCCTGCACGATGATGGGGAAAAAAGTCAGGTCCAAGATAGTTCAAGTAGGGTTGCCAGACTTTGTAGAACTGGTCTGCTCTGTCATGTAGAATATTTGTAAGATATTCCAGAGGAAACAACTCAAATATAACTTTATACCAACCCTCAACAGAAGGGCCCTTATCACTAATCCACTGTATCAATATATTTTTCATAGCAGCAAAAGTAGGAATGTTATATGGTAGTTATACGTCTACTTGGGAGGCCCAAAATCAAACACATTGGATCCATTTCTAAATCCTTACCAAATATTTTTTCCATTTAACGTAATATGTTGACCTGATATTTCTGTAAATTATGAAACAACCGTAGCATTGGGTTAAAGGAACCTATTTCGGTTTTACATTTAAGTCACAGGAGAAATTGAAGGGTTAAAAGAATTCCTGCGATTAGGAGATATATGCAACCTATGTCTTATTTTAAACTGGATCGCTTTCACCAGAGTGCAGATGGATATCTTTTTAGCGTAACTCATAATATCTTCCCATGACTTCTCACCAGTAGTCACTGATAAGTCCTTCTCCCATACGTCTTTAATCCCCTGTGTTCTAGTAGAAGACATACCACACATTACATCATAAAGCAAACTAAGACACTTTCTCTGGATGTTGAACAACAATGTTATGTTTGATTAAGAGTAATGGCAGTGGGTTGAGGAATTCAGTTTGTCATGTATATGGGGCTAGTGTTGCTGACGATGATGTTTGTAGCCTGCTTTGTTTAAACTGTAGTTGACATTTTCATGAAGCCTTGGGTGTTTTGAATCGGACAGGAAAAGGATCAGAGGAGTTTGGACTTGAACACAGCCAAGTGCATGCTGGGGCTTCTTCTGGGAAAGACATGGCCCCTGTTTCCCGTGTTTAATCAGTTTCTAGAGGTAAGCGTTTGCCAGAACAAAGATGTCACATACAGTAGTTGTGTATAAGATTGTTAGTTTGAAGTCCAGTTCGACCTTGGGCAGGGTTGTTGTCGCTAAAAGGTTGTGGTGCCGTGTTAATGTAAAGCATTCATTTGTCATTCCTCAGCAATCCAAGTACAAAGTCATCAACAAAGACCAATGGTGCAATGTTTTAGAGTTCAGCAGGACAATCAACCTGGACCTCAGTAACTACGATGAGGATGGTGCCTGTGAGTGAACATGTGTCTACACAGAAATGTGACAACAGAGCTCAGTGTGCATGTTACACAGATAACAGTTCTCTAATCTGTTATAATCTCTGTCGTGTCCTTTTCTCAGGGCCTGTTTTGTTGGATGAGTTTGTGGAGTGGTACAAGGAAAGACAGATGTCATAGCTGCAGAGCAAAATGGAAAATGGAAAAAACACAACTGTGACAACAACGACTATGAGAATCAACAACCAATAAGTAAACAATACAAAAATGGTAAAGCAGTGACTGTGGGTGCTTCCTAGTAAAGGAGGGATTTGGGGCTGTGGGTGGGCTAGGGTGGGGGCGACGGGTTTGCAGCCTGGGTGCACGCTGCCCAGAGCACGGATGCGGAGGGCTGCCATTGTGGAGTAATGTTCCCTACCGAAGTTGCATAGTGGGCAAGCTTGCAGCAATCCCCAGTGGCATTGCTGTCTCTCACTGTGACATGTCATATTGCTGTCTGTGTTAGGATAACATGGTATCATACATGGATGATGGAAGCAAAATGGTATTATGTGGGAGAACCACTCCTCACCCTTATCTTCAGCACAGAGAACCCAACGGAAGTGACCATTCATGCATTGTGTCTGAGTCTTAAACAGGGTCACTTTGACCTGGGCACATTAAATATTATATATCTGTGCAATGAACTTGAACTTGAGCTTTTCTGGACAGATGGCACTAACTATTGTTTGTCATATTTTCAGTTTGATAGGAATTCTTCAAGAAGCACACTGTGTCAAATGGTTGATCGCAGGTTTCTGATGCCTGTGCTGTTTACTATTGATCTGTGCCAGTGATTTCTTTTTTTTCCCTCCAGTTTTTGTTCCCTCCTGCTGTTTTGCTCCAGCTAATGCTAACAGTTTGCTAACCCCCCCGGCAAAGGCTTCAGACCTCATAACACCAAACAAATCAGCATTGCTGCTTACTAACTCTTATTACAGCGGTGAGCCACTAGTGCTCTGATCAGCATTTATTGGTCCGGTGACCAATCGATGTATCTACGTTGTGTAGGTAAGAGTATTATTGTGCCTCAAACCATGGAAGTCACTTTGTGTGTCCCACACACGTACCAACAAATCCAAATGTACATACACGTGTGAGAACACATACAACACATACACATACTCATGCACACACAGACACACTGAGTGGTCAGGGATTATTTCAGGATGAATTCAAACTGTTTGGGCTGTGTTATAAGTTGACATAGATCTAGTTGGTGTCCATTTTGTCTTGATATGTGGTATATGTTTTGTCTTCCTTAGTCCACTGATAGTTTCAGGTCTCTTCCTAGTAGCATCTCTCCCAACACTGACAGTGTTTTATATATGTATATATATACACACATATATACATGTATATAACTATGGAAGACCATTGACCCTCTCAGGACGAGGTCCTTTAGGCTTGAGTAGTAAGGTAGGTTTGCTGAAAGCATTGCTTTGTACCACCCGTAGGATCTAATCAAAACAATGGACACTGACGGTTTGGAACTGTGTGATGATGCTATGCTCTTCTTTCGCCTAGTATAATGTTCTTGTAACACATGTATAAATTTTTGTCTTTGGCTGTTGTGTGATGCTGAATCGTCAGAAGATTTAATATTTGCATGCATGCTCCAACAGAGCCTTTGGTGAATGGATGAGATTTTTTGAAAACATTTTTCAAATGCGTTTTTGTTTTGTACAGGAATTTGTGCAAGTGTTTTGTGCTCAATTTGATATTCATGATCATGTTATCTTAATTCTGATGAACAACATGATCGTGTCTATTAAGACCTGGAACACACCTGTAACCTCACGGTGGAACAGGAGTTCCCTCCTGCATTTGCCCCATCTTTCAGATCCTTACACGTGCTGTAAAGCTTTAGGTAGCTACAGCCAGTACAGGATCTAATTTTATTTATTGGAAGTGCGTAACTTGTTTTGCAACTTTTGCACCACACTGTCACAATACACACAAAATACACTTTGAAATCTGTCGTGAAGTTAATAGACATCAGCTCCCGTGTCACTGAAGCGCACTGCTGATAAAACTGTAAGAAAGCCTCTTTTGTCATTACAACACCATCAACCATCAGCATAAAATCTAAGGTCAAAGTAGTTGTTGGATTGCTTACCAAATACTGTGTAGAGATCAGTGTATAGAGTTTTCTCCCATGACAGTGCAGGAGGATGAACAGCCTTGTCCCAACTGTATATATGTATGTAAACTATGTAAGTGTCTATATGTCTGTTTTCACTATAACCTATGTCTATATACATAAATAAAATGGTTTATTAACTTACTGGCTTATATTTGGGATCTTTGGTTAATAGTTTTTCAATAACAAAAAAACAAAGTACACTGTCATTACTGTTGTCATTATTTAAATGTACCTATTTCTACAAATGAACACTTCGCATAGTATTGTTCAGGCATAGTTTTATTAAGGTCTCTTAAGTGTATTAATAATGCATGGCCATTAAGGTCAGAATATGGATTCTCGTTGCAAAATTGATTAGAGAGAGACATCTTTGAAAAGTGATTTACAGAAATATGGCACATCTGCTCTCTGCTGTGCTCTGCAACAGTTCCACCAAAACATTTAGTATTTACATTTCATTTCAAGTTTAATACTTAACAAATCAATATAAAATAAAATAACAGTGCCAATCATTTACTTCTTTTGTCAGTGTTCAGGATGCAGTGATTTCTGTATTTTTAAAAAAAAAAAAAAAAAAAAACTTGTTCATGTTTGACGAGTTAAAATGGAGAGCTAGGTTTTGTGATGTAAGTGGAGACGGGTCGGATTAATCTGCATGTCTGCTGTTTTGCAGATAGGATTTGATACCGTCCCGCCCTGGTGACTTAATGCTCTGTGGAGACCTCCATGTGAGCCCAACTGCCTCATCTGGTGGTGGTGTTGCTGGAATAGGAGGTGGAACCTCCTGCGGTGGCTCAATATCTCCAATGTCATGCGTCCTGTACCTGGGAATACCATATGGCAAATCTGCAGCTCCTCTCTTGTGTACTGAAGTGGAGGAAGTTAGTTGTGTTAGCGGCTGTTTGGCCAGGGGCTTGATTCCTTCCTCAAACCTGCTGGTGTCCCCTTGTGGACCATGGTCATCAAATAGAGGAGATGCACCCTTATCATGTACTGTATCCCACTTTCGTCTCTCTGATGACATGACTTTTAGGGCACTGAGGCCTTTCCTTTCGCTCTTGTCCTCAGATACAGTCCTCAAAATCTCACTCGTGCTGCCACTTGAGTTGTCAAACTTGTCAAGAGCTCTGTTGGATGTAAGAGAAAGACTTTTAGTGCTGGAGATGTTGAAGGAGTCAGGTGAGCTAAGTTCAGGCTCAGGAGGTGGATCCTGCTGTGGAGATGATAAGGCAGCACCTGGACGTCTCCTCGAACTGGTCGTAGAAAAGTCAGACAGATGGCGACCAATGCCAGTCCACTTTATCCCGGGTGGCACGTCCACATCTGTGGTGTTTCTGGACTGCCCCATGCTTTTCTTTACTATATCATCAAAGGTAATACTGGGAACCTTTGGGGCAAGATGTACATTTCTGTCACTCCCACTACGGGGTAGACCTTGTGCAACAGTTACCGTTTCAACATGGTCTACAGTTTGACGTTGAAGTGGCAATGAAGCTTTCATAATTAAACGCTTATAAGTGATTTGATCATTGTCTGTTGTTCCTGACAGATTTGATGCATGTCTGCTTTGTTTTGCAGTGTATCCTGTCACCTCTCTTTCGCTCTCGCTGCTGGAGGATGAGGGATTATTTGGCTCTGGTGATGGAGCCTTGAAATTCAGACGCCTCTTAATGCGTGGGACACCGAGACTCAGGTCAGGAACACTGTGGTCTATCTCATCCCCACTGTTGCTGCTGGAGGATGATTGTCTTTGTAATGGAGCTCTACCTACATATTCTGTTGATGCACTTTGATTCACACTGCTGGACGAGGAATCAGGCAGTTGCTTTGATGATGGTATAGCAGGAGCCTTTTCACTGACCCTGATATCCAAGTACCTCCGAGTTTGTGGACTATCAAAACCAGTCAAAAGGGTATCTGGATTTGACTTTTCTTCAGTTGTGGGGAGGCTATAGTCTTTTCTTAATCTCTCTTTAACCTCTACTAAGTTTCTGGAGATGTTGTCTTGACTCTTCAATGTTGGAGATACATTCACTGGTTTATTTTCAAGGGTCAGAGATGAATCAGTGCATATGATTTCTTGCATCCCATCTTCCCTTCTTTTTAGTCTTGTTCTGCTGCTTTTACTCCCAGATTCATTTTCACTGCTAGAAGAGGAGGGGGAGTGAGGTGGAGGTGATGTGGGCAGAGTTGGTGGTGCATGGGTGTGCGATGTGATTTCAAGACGCTTCCTGAAGCGGGAGATACCAAGATTCATGGAGGCCCACTGGGACTGAAGCTCTGGGTTTATCTCTGGTGTTGTGCTGATGTTGTCATTTGTTTGTTTGTCCCCCAAGTCATCTGAAATAACTGCATACTTATCTAATTTGATATTGTAGTCTGTCTTTTTATTGTGAGGAATGTTTATCACTGGGGTCTTTTCCGAGGTCTCAGATATGACAGATACTCCCATTCCTACTTTTGCAGTGTGGTCTCTGTTCTCCCTCTTAATTCCAGAAGAATTTGATCCAGTCTGTTGAAAGCCTACAGATGACTCAGTTGGAGGTGAGTATGTCTTAATATCCAGGCGCCTTTTGACATGGGGGGCACTGCTGAGATCCAGTTGAGGCCATCTTGGATCTGGTTCCGGTTCTCCTGTTATTGATGTATTGCTTAAATCTTCTGTATACTCCTCTTGCTCATCTGAGCTACTTGACGAGTAATGGGGGCTAATTCTGGTTTCCTCTGTCTTTCCTTTCTTTGAATGGTTTCTACTCCCACTGCTTAATGAATCATGAGGTGATGATCTGGCTTTGATGTCCAAACGCCTCTTGACACGTGTGGTATGCTCAAGATCAAGAAGAGGCCACTGTGTTCCTGGGTCATGACTTACAGTATGAGATACTGTATTTGAAAGCCTTGCCATGTGTATCTCCCTTTGTTCCTGTTTCTTTAGGCGATTTCTTGTCTCATCCTCACTGTCACTACTAGAAGATGAATCAGAGTCTGGTGATGTTGCTTTGATATCTAGGCGCCTCTTGACACTAGAAATATGCTCAAGATCTAGGGCAGGCCATCCTCCATCCGGATCATGACCTACTGTTTGAGATTTTTGCAATGGAAGCTCTGTGTTGCCCACCTTCCCAGACCTCTCTGCAAGTTTTGTTGTTTCATCTTTACTGTCACTACTAGAATCCGGTGATATTGCTTTGATATCTAGACGCCTCTTGACACGTGTAGTATGCTCAAGATCAAGAACAGGCCACTGTGTTCCTGGGTCATGACTTACAGGTTGAGATACTGTATTTGGAAGCCTTGCCATGTGTATCTCCCCTTGTTCCTGTTTCTTTATGTGATTTGTTGTTTCATCCTCACTGTCACTACTAGAAGATGAATCAGAGTCCGGTGATCTGGATTTGATATCTAGACGCCTCTTGATGCGAGGAATATGTTGAAGATCTAAGGCAGGCCACCTTCCATCTGGATCATGACTTACTGTTTGGGATTTCTGCAGTTCTGCAGTGTCCACCTTTGCTGGCCTCTGCTTTGTTGTGCTTTCTGATGTTTCATCCTCACTGTCACTACTAGAAGATGAATCAGAGTCCGGTGATCTGGATTTGATATCTAGACGCCTCTTGATGCGAGGAATATGTTGAAGGTCTAGGGCAGGCCATCCTCCATCTGGATCATGACTTGCTGTTTGGGATTTCTGCAGTTCTGCAGTGTCCACCTTTGTTGGCCTCTGCTTTGCTGTGCTTTCTGCTGTTTCATCCTCACTGTCACAACTAGAATAAGAATCTGGAGATGTTGTTTTGATGTCCAAACGCCTCTTGACACGTGTAGTATGCTCAAGATCAAGAACAGGCCACTGTGTTCCTGGGTCATGACTTACAGTGTGAGATACTGTATCTGGAAACCTTGCCACGTGTATCTCCCCTTGTTCCTGTTTCTTTATGTGATTTGTTGTTTCATCCTCACTGTCACTACTAGAAGATGAATCAGAGTCCGGTGATCGGGATTTGATATCTAGGCGCCTCTTGATGCTAGGGATATGTTGAAGGTCTAGGGCAGGCCACCTTCCATCTGGATCATGACTTAGTGTTTTGGATTTCTGCAGTTCTACAGTGTCCACCTTTGCTGGTCTTTGATTTGCTGTGCTTTCTGATGTTTCATCCTCACTGTCACTTCTAGAAGATGAATCCGGAGATGTTGCTTTGATATCTAGACGCCTCTTGACACGTGTAGTATGCTCAAGATCAAGAAGAGGCCACTGTGTTCCTGGGTCATGACTTACAGGTTGAGATATTGTATTTGGAAGCCTTGCCATGTGTATCTCCCCTTGTTCCTGTTTCTTTATGTGATTTGTTGTTTCATCCTCACTGTCACTACTAGAAGATGAATCAGAGTCCGGTGATCGGGATTTGATATCTAGGCGCCTCTTGATGTGAGGAATATGTTGAAGATCTAGAGCAGGCCACCTTCCATCTGGATCATGACTTAGTGTTTGGGATTTCTGCAGTTCTGCAGTGTCCACCTTTGCTGGCCTCTGCTTTGTTGTGCTTTCTGATGTTTCATCTTCACCGTCACTACTAGAAGATGAATCAGAGTCCGGTGATTTTGCTTTGATATCTAGGCGCCTCTTGATGCTAGGGATATGCTCAAGATCGAGGGCAGGCCACCTTCCATCTGGATCATGACTTAGTGTTTGGGATTTCTGCAGTTCTGCAGTGTTCACCTTTGCTGGCCTCTGCTTTGTTGTGCTTTCTACTGTTTCATCATCACTGTCATTACTAGAAGATGAATCAGAGTCCGGTGATTTTGCTTTGATATCTAGGCGCCTCTTGATGCTAGGAATATGCTCAAGATCGAGGGCAGGCCATCCTCCATCTGGATCATGACTTACTGTTTGAGATTTTTGCAATGGAAGCTCTGTGTTGGCCACCTTCCAAGACCTCTCTGCAAGTTGTGTTGTTTCATCCTCACTGCCACTACTAGAAGATGAATCAGAGTCCGGCAATGTTGCTTTGATATCCAGACGCCTATTGATGTGAGGAATGTGCTCAAGATTTAGGGTGGGCCACTGTGTTTCTGGATCATTTCTAAGTTTCTGAGATTCTTGATATGGTAGCCCTGCAAGTTCCACCACACCTGGCCTCTCCTTCTTCATGTCTTGTGTTGTTTCATCCTCACTGTCACTACTAGAAGATGAATCAGAGTCCGGTGATGCTGCTTTGATATCTAGACGCCTCTTGATGCGTGTGGTATGTTCAAGATCAAGGAGAGGCCACTGTGTTCCTGTGTCATGACTTACAGTTTGAGTTACTTTATTTGGACGCCTTGCCATGTGTATCTCTCCTTGTTTGTGTTTCTTTATTCGTGCTATTGTTTCTTCCACTTTCTTGCTATTAGAAGCTGAATCAAGAGGGGGGAGTGCTTTGATATCTAGGCGCCTCTTGATGCTAGGAATATGCTCAAGATCGAGGGCAGGCCATCCTCCATCTGGATCATGATTTACTGTTTGGGATTTTTGCAATGGAAGCTCTGTGTCGCCCACCTTCCCAGTCCTCTCTGAAAGATGTGTTGTTTCATTTTCACTGTCACTACTTGAAGATGAATCAGAGTCCCGTGATGGTGCTTTGATATCTAGACGACTCTTGGCATGTGTAGTATGCTCAGGCTCGTGGATAGGCCACTGTGTACTTGAATCATGACTTCCTGTCTGAGAATCTTGAAACTGAAGCCTTGTCATGTCCACCTCTCCTTGCTCTTGCGTCTTTGTATGTTTTTTTGTTTCATCCGTAGTCTCATCACTAGAAGATGAGTCCGATGCTGGTAATGGGGCATTGATCTGGTCTACTCTGCCTTTAGTCTGTTTCACTTTGAGGTCTGTGATTTCTGCTTCGCTCTCACTGCTGGAAGAAGATGAATAAGCTTTAGGTGGTGAAGGTGCACTGGTATCTAGACTCTTACCAAAACTGGTAACACCCAAACTGAGACCGCGCCACTTTGTCCGTGGCATTGGTTTAACTTTCTCCCTGGTGCCCCCCTCTCCTGTAACTATCCTGCTGCTTAGCTGGTCATATTCGGCAATGGATTTTACGTTCGCTTCTCCTTTTTCTTCCTCTTGATTGACTTTGTACTGCATTGACGCCCCATCACTGTCACTGGAATGAGAGGAAGATGGATACTCTGGTCTCTCTGCAGGCCTTTGTGGGTCAAAAGTGTCAGTGACCTCAGACTTATCTTGGTACCTTACTACATCTTCTTCCTCCTCTTGGTCTGAGTTCAGAGTGTATTGTGTAGGTTCATCCTCACTGATGTATGAGCTGGAGCTGGACATATCCACCCTATTTTGTCTATCTGAATTGGGTAGCACAATCAGTTTTGAGTCAGTAAATGAATCAAACACACTGCTGGACCTTGCAGATGTGCTTCGAACAGAATCACTAAATTCAAATTGTTCTTCGTTCTCCTGCCACAGATCAGAGTCTTTTGGGTTGGCATTATTTGTATGTGGTGACCAATCTGCAAAGGGCTCAGAGGAAAATCCAGGAATTTCACTTTCGTCCTCTATGGAAATTTGTGGCACCTCTACTTTCCTAGATGTTGAGAAATCAGCTCTCTGCTGAATGGAGTCCTCTGCCAGCTGAGGAGACTTGGGTGTCATGTGGTCTTTTAATGCTTTGTCAGATAGTGAAGAATCTGAGCATGAAGACAAGCTTCTTCTCTCCTCCAGCTCAACAGGGTCTGGGATGTGTTCAAACTCCATTTTGTGTGTGTGTCCTGCGTCGGTGATGCCTGAGACGGCTCTGCCATCTCTCTGGGTATCCTGTGGTAAGCTGTTTTCACTTCCTGAATCTCCATCTGTATGCTTTTCCTCCTCAGTCTTAGCTGATTCACATTCAATCACTGCATCCTTATTGATGCTTTCCTGGTTGCCACTGGCTACGGTATCATAATATTGTACATTTCCATCTTCTCTATAATCTACAGTGCTAAATGTGACTCTCCTTTCTCTGTGAGTTACTACCTCCTCTGGTTCCTCACCATCGGAGTAGGCCTCATTCTCATATTGTCTTTGTTCTACAGATGAGACAGAGTTGGTTGAAGCGGGGCTTTTCTTCTTGGTCACCTTTGCCCAAAGCACATCAATACAAGGTCTCGCTAAGACCCCGAGGATGAAGGCTATCAGAAACGTGATGAAAACAGACAGACACACAGCCAGAACCAACTGAGACTGTGTGGCTCTCTGATTCCTCTCTTCACCTATCCTACTTGGGGTGTCTTGTGGGATTACTTGTCGGATGGTTCTGGGTAAGCTTCTAGTTTTTCTTCTTGCACCTCCTACTCTACTGATCTGGAGGTTAAAAACAGACACAACCTCATGATCTTCAGACATACACACATAAAGTCCTGTGTCTCTCTCTGTGACATCACTGATGAGCAGATCGGCCTGAGGTTGGCTTACAGACGCTTGACCACTGGGCGTCCACCACATCGGGTCTACGGAGAAGACAACATAGACATGTAATTGGACTGACCTGCATAACTATATATGTGTTAATCTGTTTTACACTTTTGACTGAGTTACCTTGGGTGGAGCAAGACAGCAGTATCTCAGAGCCGCTATAAACTGTCACATCTTGATGGATCTCTGGCCTGTTTTCAGGACCAAAACAGTTCAGGTCATCCTCCTCCAACTGTAGCAGGTCTTTGCCTGAGAGGATAGAGGGGGAAGCACACACCATGTCCCAGGCCTGCAGGCCTCTGCTGCTGTCAAAGGCCATCCGCCTTCTTAGACTGCGCATGCTGCAGTCACACTGCCACCTGTTCCCACCCAGCCCAACATCTGCCCCAATGTTACGCAGAGAGAGGTACATCAAAGGATGGAGGCTGGTCAACATGTTGAAGCTCAGATCAAGGACCTTTAATGGAGGCACAACATGGACATTCAGCATATAGCAAGACATATACTTTGACTGCTAAAAAAATTAAAAGAAAGACACTTAAGCTACATACTTTTTTCTGAGAGTTACCAATCAAAACAGAATTTGGCATCACTGTATGGCTGGAAATACTGAATATTCTGTCGTTCATCAAGTTTCAATAAGTGTGAAGGAACAAAATGAACAGATTGAAGGAAAATAATCTAAATTACCCTGAGCTGGGCTAAATCCTGGAACATCTGTGGATGGAGACTTGTGATGAGGTTGTGTTGTAGGTGCAGCTCTTTCAGCTGTCGAAGGTGGCTAAGGTCGCCTGGTCGTAGAGTTGAGATCCTGTTGAAGGAGAGCTGCAGAACCCATAAAGACGGACTACCTTCCAGCCCTGGATGACAGAATATAAGGGCCATAATTAGAACTCAACAATAACCACGATGGGGTGGCTCGTCAAGGGAGGAATGTACCATATGTTACAGGTTTTCCGTGATAATAACAGGTCAGTTTGTCTCTTGTGCTCCCATACCTGTGCTGCTTCACATTCTTCACTGTGACTTGGAAGGTGAAAATCTGTTCATTTTTCAGTAAAAACTCAATTTGTTAGCATTACTGCTGAGATTGGATAATGGAAACTACAGGCCTTACTGTGTGAATGTATAGATAGTGAATAGTGTAAAATATCTGAATCAATGAAAACCCCCTTTCCTAGAATATGAATCCAGCCTGTGAACACTTTTACTATATGACTAATAAGGGGCTCTGAATTTTTTCTGTGTTGCTCATTACTCCCCCGCTGCCTGTCTCCCCCCTTTTCACTCGCCTGAGACAATCTCCCCGGGTCTGCTGCGCTAAAGTAAGGCACTGTGAGTCTGTGCTTCATTAGAGAGGCACTGAGGGTTCTGTGAGCCGAATACCAAACAGGAGAGAAGTCCATGACTGTCAACACAGCTCTGGCTGAGTAAATGGACTGTCCACACATGCCTTTAAAAGAACCGTATTAAGAGCATTTCTTGGAAACACATAGGGCAGAGGGAGTTCTGTGAAATAACATGATGCTGGGGGAAAACGTAAAAGTTGCGTTGTATGTTTTCTGCTGTCACAGAGCCACTGGAATGTCAGTAAAAACTGTGATTGCCTGACAGCTGTACAGTTTCATTATCTTGGGAGGCTGAATCATTTTGGAGCGTAGCACAGTAGTAAAGATAAGGAATATTAATGAGAGGGTTTGTTTATATGAGGAAAACACATGGCAGGACAGTCAAGACCACAGATTTATTCTTCTATAATGAACGAATAAGAATTAAACTTCAGACCATGTTAACCTTTTTAGACAGAATTTGGTAAAAAAAAAATATAAACAAAAGGCTGGGAGGTGAGGGTTTCTTTCAGATCTGACTCACAGACATATCTCAATCACATTCCAGAGGGCAATTGAAGGTGTGGCTCATGTACATTGTGCAACTTTACTATCAGAGGCACCATCTTTAATCACCCACACACAAAATAGTTTTTCAAAAAGGAACACCCACGTGTAATTAAGTCATTAAATCCCAACCTGGGGGGCCAGACCCCTCTAGTGGGTCACAACATGATGGAATGGAAGAGGAAAGAACCCAAAAAAGTTTTGCTCCACAACGTTAAATTCATCTTTCATCAATTCTTTATCCCTAAACTTTCGCTCTGTTGAGTTTTGTAAGTTGTATTCTCTTTATCTCCTGGAACATTTATCCAGAAAACAATCTGAAAAGGTTAAAGGCAAAACATCTTGACATGGACCTCCAACACCTGTGACAAGGGGCCACAGTTAGAAGAAGCTGTATTTTAATGGGTCAAAACCAAAAAGGGTGGGATACTTGTATAGATCACTCTGGTCACTTCCTGTTTATGTAAGTAAAGATACTATAGTTTACGTATTTCATGGATACACACCCAGATCATAGACATTTCTTATGACTACGCAACTTTAGAACATATTGGGGTGTGGCTGACAAATCATCATAAGATACTACGCAATATTGTGAACACTGCCCTATGTGTAATTTAAGTCTGTTCCCACGCATGGCTGATGTTCAAGATTATTTATGTGTATTTACTATTTATTATTACAATATATAGGATTATTGTTATTATCATTCAATTCTGCAGGTTGGATTTGTACAGTACGTGTGTGTTGACAGCAGTATTGGAAAGTAACTAAGTATTTACTCAAGTACTACTGATTGTACTTTGCTTGAGTATGTCCTTTAGAGTTACTTTCTATATATACTGCACTACATTTCTCAGAGAAATATTGTACTTTTTATTTCACTATGTGTTTAAGAGTGTTACTACTTACTTTTAACATAAGATGAAATATGATGTTGTAGTAGAATAAACCCAACTACAAAGTTGTCTATACACTAGTTATACATATAGCCCTAAAGAAAAACTATTAAAGTATTTATATATATGCATACATATATATATATACTGTATGTTATTTACAATTTTAGGAACTACAAAATACAAGTAAAAGCCAAACCTCAGTGACTGCACTGAAGCAGGTTAAGGCCAGTCACAGCTGACCTTAGCTAAAGCTAATTTACAGGCTTTTCCCAACCTGTGTCCTGTAAAACTAATCTTGATGTCTTAGTGACTAAGTTTGTTATACCACATGAGGCTGTAGCTAAATCCAAAATGTTCCACCAGATGACCTAGTCCTGCTAAACACGCTAGCTAGCTAGCTTAGTTTATAAGCCTGCAGTCTGTGCAGGGTGTCCTACAAACTTTAAAGCCCTTTATCACAACGTCACTCTCCGTACTTACTGCAGGTTGCCTTTGTAAGGCAGTAAGTAATACTTTTAGTTTCAATATTTCCAAACAATGCTGTACGTTTACTTAAATAATAATGTCAAAGTTAAATCTATTTACACTGTGTTTTAGCTACTTTTACTTTAGTGAGTGAACTGAATGCTTCCATCACTGGTTGATAAGGGCAGTCCAAGTTTGATCTGATGCAAATTCATCACAGATTCAAATGTTTTAACTGACATGGAAGTGTATGAAAGTGATATGTTGGCTGTCCTGCAACAGCGATACAACTGATACTGTACAGGTGTAATTTTTTTATGCTCTGCTCTCTGGAAGCAGTGGTTATTGTGCTGTTCATGTCCTGTGACAGTGGTTTAAATATGGCTGTATGTATGACTGTATTACACTGCCTCACCCTCTGGGAGTTGCATCAGCTGATTCCTCTCAACAGATAGCAGCTGCAGGGTGGGGGCCCAAGATACGCATCTTCTTCTGCTCCAAGGTCTCAAGCGATGTAGATGTCCACCACTGACAGACTGGCTTCCCATGCTTCTGTCTACGCAGAGAGACAAGTGTGTGATCGAGTTGTTTCCCAGCCAAACATTCCTCAGGTTACGATGTGGCCGGTGGAGTGTTGCAGAATCGAGGAGATTGTGAGACAGGTCCAGCTCAGTGACAGAGTCCGGGATGTCCTGCGGCACCAATGAGAGGCCAGAGGACGAACAGTTCAACAGGGGAGCTCTCTGACAGGTGCAAGACTCTGGACAGACAGGTGGGGGAGAGGAGCAATGGACCCCAGCGGAGACGAGGAGCAGCACAGCAGCCAAGACCTGCCCCTGTGCTCCTGCCATCACACCCTGTCCTGTGAGTAAACATAGACCATCATGAATGACACAAAATCAAGTATGGTCAATCTTTACCATCAGAATATGTTGTATGAAAGACTATGAGTTTGTGCAATCCTTACTAAAATCATTAAACACAAAACAATTCATTAAATAAAATTTAATTTGAAAATAAAAAAGACTTCAAAGATGGACAATAACGCAGTTAAAAAACATCAGACTCACCTGTGTATCCACTCTTTTCCAAGCTGATAGGAAAACTTGTGACTCTTCAAGCCCAGAATGCTTTTAGCGTATTAACTTCTGTCTCCAGCAGCTTCTGATCAAAGTCTGAAGCATATTTTGCTGCGTCTAGCTTAACACGCGCCTGTCAGAAGACGCCCTTCTGCGTTTCATTCAATCATTTACACGTCTAGTTAATGTCTTACTGTCGCTGTTTTCCTCTGTATACATGATACATAACTGAGACTGAACATTTATGGTGAGGAGAACCATGCCCTGCTTCACATTCTGCTGGATAATAAAACAGTATTCTGAAACCAATGATAACAAGTTTCACATCGCAACATGTTTCTTTATTGAAACACACATAGCAATGAAATGTTGGACACATTTTCAAATAAGGCTGGTTGCCATTTTTTTTTTTTTTTTTCCATTTAGTGGATCATAAACACTCCATTCTTTCACAACAGGCTGTGACGCTCTGAGAAAAACTACATCATGACATTAATAACAAATATTCTCAACATCAGTACTGTTATAAAACAGACAAGACAATCCAAGGCAAAATAAAAGTCAAATCAATTATAGACTATATTGCACAAAAATTCAAACCACTCAATATAAGCGTCAAACCAAGCTACTGATGATTTAAACTTTCCTGACATTCATGAACATTTAAAGAGATCTGCATTAATCTGGAGTTTAACTTAGTGCAAACACTCTATCTCACTGTAAAAAAGCTTTTGCAACAAAATTAGAATATTTTATATATATATATATCTATGTATGTGTACGTGTGTGTGTGTGTAATTTCTCATATATCATCCCTTGTAAATCCATTGGCACGTGCAAGATGGACAGTCGAAGATGTGCAGAAAGAGACCTATTCTACTGTAGCATTACTGAATGGCTTAAAATGTATATTTAGTTTTACAGTTCAACCCAGATTTTGTGCATTTCATCAGCAAGTGTCGCATAACTCAATATAATCTTGTAGTGTCTTACTTTAGTCAGTGAAAATAATAAAGAAAATATCAAACACAGCTGCCAGTAACAAAGAATAGCAAATAAAGTCATATACAATCCCTCTACGTGGTCTGTACGCTCAGTTGGTAGTTTGTTAGGAACACCTAGCTAAAACTACTACTGTACTTTCGGGGTTGCTGCTTGTGGAGAGACTGTGTTTGGCTGCTTATTTTTCTGTCCTAACGTATTTGTGGCAAGGTTTTTTATGTTGTTTCTTCATGTCATTGTCATTGTTTGTTTTTTTTCTTATAGTGGACAGTTTGTGTTGCGCTGGTTGTGTGTTCTTTGTTGTGTATATGTGTGTTTTTTAAAGTCTACTCTCTACTCGAATTGTCTAACAATCCTGTAAGAAATCCTCCTTCATGAGGGTTGTAATGTTCATTCTCAGAGAGATGTTGATTCAACTTTATAGTAATTCTGGAGGCTGCAGTTTGTGGTGCTGTTGAATTGTAATGCATTATACAGACAGGTGTTTCTATTATTTTGTCCACCCCATTTATATTAATGAGAGTAGGGCTAAATATAATACAGTAGCACCACAGACTACATCCTCCTGAATGATCACACAGTTGAATCAACGCCTCTCTACAACTATTTCAATACAAACTGAACATTATAACCTTCACCAGGAGAGGATTTATGGCAGGACTGTTGTAATGTTTTTAGCTAGGCGTACCTAATAAACTGCCATCTGAGTGTATTTTAGTAACACTGGACGGTAAGGCAAAAATGTAATACTGTAGCTTCTAATTGCTGCCAATGGGCGATGTAAACCACAGTATAATGTTAAATATAAGTGCTATGTGCTTACATGGCACAATACACTTTCAGATAAAGTTGGCAAATCTGCAGAACAATAAAAATACTTCAGCACGTATATGTTAATATCTTTGGCCAAGTGGTAACGATCTGTAACACAATTCCTGCTTTGCAAACAAAATAAGGAATACAGAATTTGCCAGGTGAACTACAGAGGTATTATTATGTGCAAGTCATGATGAATTTCCTATAGAATGTCCTATATATATATGCAAATTTGTAATCAGCAGATTCCAGTCCAGACGCCTAATGAGCTTTCCTGCACGGGTTGTCTGATGTCTGGCAGCCCATGTTGGGATATTTCACCTGCACACGGAACAGAGTCCCATCTGCACACATGCAGAGCTTGTACCTCTCCAGACCCTCATCGAAATACACATCTCCTGCGGAGTTAGGGATGCGTGTGGCGTTGAACATGACTGACCCATTGAGGACGATGCTGTTTTCCTGCAGAGAGAGAAAAAATCCATAATCCATAATGTGTCCTCAGGGTTTCATCTTCATCGGCTTTACACTGTATTTATGCAGCTGTTTGTTTATTGTTACACATCAAATCATATTAAATACTTTCCCACACTTACAGCCCTGAGCTCGATGCCTCCACCCATTTTGAACTCTACAGTCCGGCCCATGATGTTGACCCCCTCGTTACCACGGATAATGGCCTTGCTGTCCCCTTTGATGTTCAGGTCAGACGCTGCACTGCTGGTGATCTAACATCAGAGACAACCAGACACATTTATTTAGACTCCATTACCTTTTCCACACTCAACTAAAGTTTTGAGAATTATTTTCTTCCATTTATTAAAGATAAAAAACCTGAAATATTTCATCATATTCAGGCCTCTGTTTTGAACCCTTGTAAACTGTTGTTGACGATTGCAGCTTTGAGTCTTCTCGAAACTGCATTTATCAGCTCTGCACACTTGCTTCGTCTCAGATTCTTCCAGGCCCTGGGAAACTGCAAACTGCCTCACTTTGATATTCAGATTGCAAGATCTGGCTGGGCCATTCAAAGGCATTCATATATTCATATACTTATTCTAAAGATACCCCAAGATTGTCTGAGCCACGTTTGTTCAGTTGGTGCCATACTGAAAACTGAACTTCTATCTGGGGTCTAAAGGCAAAATAAATTCGGCCCATACTTGGGTCACATGCTTTAAAAGGCAATCACAATTCCTTCTGAAAAATCAATTAACATATATTTTGTTTAAAAAGTAAACAAAAACAAAACATACGCACCCTTTCTGTGGAGGCCTTTTTCACACTGAGGACTTTGACTCCTTTGGGCAAATGGAACTCATGGTTTTCAAAGTCTGTGCTGAAGAAAGTGTTCTGGGTGCGAGGGTCTGTGAAGGATATGCCAACGTCACTGACGACTGAGGTCTTGTCCTTTTCTACGCTCAGCTTAGAACTGCCCTGCTGGAACACAACCTGGATCAACACAAATAGAATAAAAGAGAGAAGAGTTGTTAGAGTATGAATTTAAAAAATAATGTGCCATTTTCCGTTTTTTTTTTCTTTTAAATGCTCAGTCTTCGCAGTAAATACAGTCTGTTTCTCACCGGGTTGTTGTTGCCAACGATGACCAGGTCCTGGTCCTTACGACCTCCCACTGTGCTCTTGTGCAGTGGGTGAACGATGCCCATGTCCGCCTTCTGTTTGAAGCGCAGCAGGCCAGTCTCATGGAACTCCATGCTGTCACAGCCATTCGGACCAATACGGATCACTGTCCATATCACAAGTGTGATCTGAGGGACAGTAAAAAAAATGCAACGACACAGTGATCAACTCTTTGCCTTAAGCTTAAGTTACGTCTAATCAGGAGGATTCACGGATGAGTACATTTAGGCTTGTAGTACTCACAATGAGGTTAATTAGGGCAAGGAGGAAGAGGAGGACGATGATGCAAACAGCCATGTTTCCCTTGCGTCCTCTCAGCCCTGTCTTATGAAGACGCTCTTCTTCTATGGGTACATAGCCAGCTTTAAAATTACTGTTGTGTTCCTTGTTGATACTGCGCCTTTCTATGGCCTTCTCTCGCATGGATTTCTTCACTGGCCCATTGGAGCTCTCCTGGAAAGGGAAAACAATCTTTTAAGACTGAAATCTATACGTTTTGAAGTGAGGAGTACCATAAACAACCAGTAATACATTTTGAGTCATAAAATTACAAATCAAAAGGAACAATTTCCTTACTAATACTTTTAGATCCCTATGACACCCTCTACATAGACAGACTTCACCTGTGAAAGTCAGATATCCTCCTCCATACTTTAAGATCCATTCACCTCAACACCTGTATTTCACTCACAGGTGAACTGCTTTCATGCTTTTCTCGCCAAGATTAGTAAAAACTGTATGAATGTGTATAATTGTCTCCCCACGATCTACATTCAGTGTCCATAATCACAACAAACTGAAGGTTTGAGTTCCCATTTATTTTCAGTGTCTCTGCGCTGGAATGTAATCTCAGTTAAATGCCCCCGAGGCTCCCTGTCTGTGGCCATGACTAAAAATAAACTGCACTTAAATTAGCAGTAAAATGGAAATAAACTCAATAGTCGAACAGCGTCTGTGCTCTTTGTGTTAGCTAACATAGCTCACTGTCAAACAGCAGGTCTAAAGGTGCTAAAATAATAGCATTTTTATTTCCTCAACGCTGCCCATAATAACGAAGCGGAGGCCAGTATTTATTACACTGATATCACCGTAGAGCCGACAACGAAGCGCCAGACATTTATATTTGTTTATATTTATATATGAATATATATTGAGTATATATCATTAACCTATTAACGAACGTTTCAGCGATAAAACGGAGTAAAATTCATAGAATAACAACAGATATTAAACATAACGGACCTGTTCGGACGCCATGTTGACCCTCCCTCTCCTGCTCGCAGAGTGACAGGGACGTACCATTTTTCTCAGTCGCGGGTGAGACAACTGATTGTGTCGTGAATTATTATATATACGGTAATTGACTATGAATTAAAAAAAGTCTTGTTAACACAAACGAGAGCAAACAGAGCATTTCAGTTGGACTGCGTAAATAAAAACAAGAAAACAAACAAAAATAGAGACATTTCTATGATAATGATAGATGGTCCAGTCCGAGTTCAACCGGCCAATCACAGAAGGATCCTAAAATAGAAAAACATGTCCATTCATAGTTTCCATAGGTAAACTGCCAAACCGACCTTATAACATCAGACTCCTTCATAATTAAAGCTTTGTTTAACAATAACAGAAGCAATATTTTCTAAAAACTCAAAAACAAAATGAATAAACAGCGAGTTCAGTTAGTTATATAGTTTATTATTATTATTACAATAAACGATAGTTTTAAGAAACGGCTGAAAACATTTTTATTTTTATGATCTTGCTTTTTAATTATCTATACTTTGCTTTTACTTGATACAGTTTTTCTTCCTTTTATTCTTTTTATACCTTTTTATGTTTTTTATATTGTTTTATTGCCCTTTTATTTATTAGGCTACGTATGTCTGGTTTTGATGTTATTTTTCTTCTGTAAAGCACTTTGAGCTGCAATTATTTATGAAAGGTGCTATACAAATAAAGTTTTTTATTATTATTATTATTATTATTATTATTATTATTATTATTATTATTATCATCATTATTATTATTATTATTTAGTTAGTTAGTTAGTTAGTTAGTTAGTTAGTTAGTTAGTTAGTTAGTTAGTTAGTTAGTTAGTTAGTTAGTTAGTTAGTTAGTTAGTTATAGTCAAAACAGCTACCAGACCAGATTTGTGTGAATGAATGATCTGACAACACTGGCTGCACATGTAATTTGATTATCGCCTGTTGTATTATAATCGGATTTAATCCAACACAGTCACAGTAGCAGTATATCTGTGTTACTGGGGTTTCCTCTGAGTGTCTTTGGTGTCGTTTGACAGTATGATATTACATACAGTCGTATTTACATCACTGGAGAGCTGAACCTGCAGAGGACTGACTGACAGAGAGCCGTGCTCGTGGTTTATCCGTCACAAGTTATTTATTGAAAGCACAGTGTGGTTTGGTTGCCGGCTCGTCTCCTCGCTTGGTTACCACAACCGAGGCGGTGCTTGGCATCTGTGTCGTAGGTGGAGAGAGCTGCCAGGACAGGAATTTTTACTGCGCTCCCTTTACAGATTAAAGGCTGCTGTCCTTTTTCCTGGGGCATCTTAAACCTCCGAGGATTAGTCACAGGGGACCAGACATGGCCGACACTTTAAGGAGACTGACCAACACATCTTCCTTCAGTGTCTTACAGGACAAGCTTGAGAGCTGGCACAAAGACTACCATGTAAGTTCATCAATAAGTTATGACCGACCTAAATCTGACCAAACCACTTCCTCGGGCCAGCCTAGCTATCTGCTCCAGGACGGCTGTCTCATGAATTAGTGGCTAAAAGTTTTAAAGTATTTACTGCAACTATAAGTTCAGGTCTAAGTACCTGTTGCAGGTGACATTGCACTCTTCCTCTAGAACTTATAAACTGCTTTGTTTACTCCTGTCAGTGGGTTATTGTTTCACTACCTGTCCTAAAATTGAGAATTTCTATTCGTTATTATTTGAGTTGTAGATGACGCGATTGAATCACGCATGGAATTATTTAAAACATTACAGTGAAGGAATGCACTCGATTTGATTATATTGATTTCCCGGCGATAGAGTTTGGTTGCTATGGACGCCAGTCGCCATGGCTACGGTTAGACAATTTCAAAGATCTTCCACTTCACTGGTAAGATGGTTCACATCCTATTACTTCCGGTAGAAATGCATTGCCTCGCACAGGGACCGGAAGTGAGTTTTCTAAACTTCAACTATATGATATTTATAGTCTAACCTGCACATTTACTCACACGTTATACGGGAAATGCAAACAACAGTCTGTTTATGAAATTAAACATTTTGTTGTGTCGTAGTGTCTTGAAACAATGTGAAAAATTATGTTAACTGGCATATTTTATTTTATTTTATTTTATTTTATTTACTTTTTGTCCTATTTACCCTCCTAGGTCATTTCCTGTGACCAGAATCTGAATAGATGTTGTGAGCTGATTGAATTAACAGCCAAGATCCAGGGCCAGCTGTTTGCTATCCTCAACCTGACAGCTGCAGAAGGTCATTTTAACACCTGCAGTTTAGGACTTCAATTGTTTTCTTTTATAAAGATTTAACCCGGTTATAATCGCTCATAAATAATTAAACACATAGTCTTTTTTTAAAATATCTGTCGTCATGAATCAGGTGGACACTATGCTGGAGTGGAGACTCTCAAAACGCGCCTGCTGCCGTGGCTTGGAACCTGTTTCTCCATGGCAAAGCCCTCGGTCACTGACGACACCAGTCTACAGCTCATCCAGGTGACCTTACCTGTGACTAGGTTTAATGTCAAAGAATGTCTCATCAAATATATGCATTAAAATAATATTAATTTAGTGTAACAAACAATGTTAAAACAACTCATATAGGTTCTGGTGTTGTAGTTACTGCATGTTTTTATCAGCAGGACTCGGTGGAAAAGGACAGGAGGATCCGGGAGCTCTGTGCCTCCCATGAGAACGACATGCAGAAGATGGAGACTCAGCTGTGCTCCTCTCGCTTGCAGTTGGACTCTGTCAGAGCAGAGTGAGTTTGACAAATATACACAGCAATACTGTAATACCGACTAACAAAAGCACACAACAGGAGAGCTGAGGAAAACCTAATTTGCACAGCTCATGTATAACATTTCATATCTCTCTCTCCACTGTCTCATTCCAGGCTGAATTACACATATGGAAATACTCGAAACATACTATTACATTTTCTGATGTATGTTTTAACAGATTGGTTGATGCTCACAAGGAGCTGGATGAGATAAAGAGCAAATCAGCAACCACTCTGCTGGCCACCGAAGATGAAATATTACAACTGAAAGCAGAGTGAGTGGAATAATATATTAATTTTCAGATGCTATATATGAGCTCTTCTGTTGACGCGAAACGTGTCTGTGTTTCAGTTTGCGATGTGCACACGAGCAGGTGGAGATTTATAAGAGGAAGCTGGACGCTCTCGATGACTACGAGCATCAGATTCGCCTGCTGAGAGATGAAGTGTCCTACCTGAGCACAGAGAAGGCCGTGCTGCAGGACAGGTGCGCGCATATGACCAGTTATTCCAATACTGCATATAAACACACTGACACCACAACACAGAGCAGAGTTTTTTATGTGTTTCCTCTTCCCTCTCTTTTCCTCTCTTTCAGGCTGGTGAGAAGTCGTTCTCCGAGCCCCTTGCCCAGACTCAGCAGCTGCTCCAGCCCCATGAGGAGTGAGTCGCCCACCAGAGCCCAGCTCACCAACTCCTCCCGCCACGCACGCCTCGTGTCTCGCTTCAGTGACCTGTACGCCGTGGAGCGTCTGGAGGCCCAGACCCTGCTTCGACGTTACATTGCTGATTTGGAGATGGTCCAGAAAATCATCTTCATTGCTGTCGTGGTACGGTCGTAATTATTTCAGAGCCACCTGTAGATATCTATTTGATTGGTTGATGTAAAGAATGACCCATATGAATGTTTTCTGAGTGATTGAATAACTGTTTTGTTGTGACATCACAAAGTTATGGAAGTCTTGATGGCTCGTTTTAAGGATTGGATGGCTTGAACACTTTGATCCTTTCACAGTATTTATATAGACCTGCTGTACAATCAGAAAAGACGCGGACATCTTACTTTCTACAATATAGGACCTTTAAAGTACACGTCTTTATATATGTCTATGTGAGGTAAAGCCCTCATTTACAATGACGTCGAGTAGATAAAAATACCAGTTAAAAAAAGAACATCTATTAAAACAAACATATTAATACAATTGATAAATAATGTATTAATGATATTTGACATTATTGAATATCGGCCTAAGCCTACTGTTGTGCATTTTTGTTTGTTTCCATCTCTTAGGAATCCTGTAAGACAGCAAAACTAGCCTACCGTCAGTTCAAGCTGCGTGTGAAAAAGACCTTGTCCCCATCCCACTATGGGCCAGAGAGTCTCGAGGACGCGGCTGTGGACTACATCGTCAGAAATCTGGACCTGTACGATGTACAGGACAGTGTCAATGTAAGACCAAATTTTCCTCAAATTGAAGAGTACTGAACAGATTAATGGACTTTGACACTTAAAAACAAGGCAGTGTATCTCACTGTGTTTCTTCTCCACAGACTGTGATCAACACCATGAATGTGAACCCTCGCATCTCCTTCCCGCCAGAAGTGGACTTTGTCCTCATCAGTACCTTGATCAGGGAGACCTGCAGGGTGGCCTTTGCCATGCAGACTCTGGAGCCCCCGCTGGACTTGGCCTTTGCCAGTGATGGAGAACTTTACAATGACAACAAGTCAGTTCTATGTGAAATACTGTGTGTAAATCCTTCATCAGGGCTGCCCTACATCACTAGGTTATTTGACGTCTCCACCAGTAGATGTCACCCTCAACACACACACACACAGCAGTGACTAACACTCACACACTCACAGCTCTCTCCCTCTCTCTCCGACAGGTATCGTCGTAGCTATGACTCAGAGTTCGCTGCTCCTCTGGTTATGTACCATGTGTGGCCGGCCTTGATGGAAGGAAATGCTGTAATAGTGAAGGGCGAGGCTGTGACCAGAAGAGGTGCTCTGGTAATGCCTTTATATTGCTTCAGAAATATCATAATGAATGCAGGTGATACAATGGTAGAGCATGAGAGTACAGGCCCATGTGTTTACTGGTGATGTGTCTTGTGTTTTGCAGTGGAGTAGAAGCCGCAGCCAGAGCAGGAGTTCCAGCCCCGTGCGCTCTCGCTCTCTCAGCCCGACTCGCAGTCTTGTAAGTCTCTATAATATTTGAAGGTCCAACCAACCACACTGGTCACAAAAGCAATTACATCACATGTTTTATTGGGCTTAAAATTACTCAAATTAAGTTTTATTTCAAACTCAAATGTATAATTTGCACTTTACGACATGCATGCACAACAATGGCCCTAAGGGTACGTACTTCAAAATCTCTGCTTTATTTGATTTGGTTTGTTTAAGCTTTAATTTACTGCACAGTTGTACATACAATCAACATCATTATCTTTTTTTTCCTAGGCATTTAACAGCAAAAGAAGCTTGTCTCCTCAACGTCTCACAGCTAGCTACCTGTGAACTCTGCAGAATCCACACCAGTGCTTCACCTCCACAAAATAATGTCTCACATATTTTGAATTCTGATTTCACCTGTGGGGTTGTACCGTTGTCTGCTTTCACCAAATAATAAAGCAATGAAATACTGTACTGTACTCAACCAAAGGCTGTGCAGAGTTTACATGGTACATCATAGATGAAGCAAAACGGCCTGGCAGCTAACGCAGCAGTTATCTTAGTTTACTATATTTAGTCTGTTAATAGGTTTTTGATAGAAACTAACAGTGTTTTAGTGAGAATCAGAAAAGTACATCTATCAGGTGAAAACTAGACCTGCACAGTAGCACTTTTCTTAGTCTGAGCTCAATACAGCAACAATTCAAAATGTAGTCGCCTCTTTACTTTCAACAGAAGTCAACGTCCATGTAGCTGCAGGACAGATAGCGTGGTGCTAATTATCAGTGCTAACTTCAACTCCTCCAGGACTTGAGTGACTGAAATTGGTCATTGTGATTTTTTTGTGTTAACGATTGCTGTTTTTTTTTCTTCTTATTTTAATGTTTTTGGTGCTGTTGTTGAGAACTTACATGAAATGACCTCGTGAGGCTTCAGACCTTTCCATGATAGCCTGTTTAAAATAGGCCATATATATAATAACTAGTAGTTATCATAGTAGTATAATATAGTAGTTTGTCACTGTGTGCAGTAGCTCGTTATTTTGCAGCAATTTCTGGACAATATTGTATTTATTATTTTCTCATTTACAATTCATGTTGTGCATATCACCAGTCACATTATCATATCTGATGCTACTGTACTTCATTTGCCTTTTAATGGCTTGACTAGAAAAAAGAATAAATTTCACTATGATTTAATTTGTGTTGTGAGATGAAAATATTCTGTGTCTGTGCTTCTGTGGTTGTTTTTTTTTAAAATAAATGATAAACCTTTAATTTCCTGCAATTGCACGTTATTTTAATCTTTTGTTTAATTTGTGTTTTATGGATTAAAACCTGTCAATACCTTTAAACACTGTTCAGAGAGGCAGCTTCGCTGATGTTGGCATGGTAACACTTCTAGACCAATTAGAATTGAACACATGCAGGTACAAATTCAGAGAAAACCCTTATTTTAATCATGAATGTTGCTCTCTGTTGTATGTTGGACTATCAAAGGACTCCACTGTGGTTATACAACAGGCTCAATAATTCCCCCAATTTACATTTCCTGGAATCACAGTTTTACCACTATTCTATTCTATCAATAGATGGCGCTGCTACTCCACTGAAAGGAGCCCAAGAGGCAAAATCACACACACTGTCTGCAAGTATTTCAGTCATGTCAAACATTGTACAACACAATATATACACTGTTGCTCATAAAGTTGGAATAAAATATTTTTTTAAATATTTTTTTAGCACCAAACAAATGTAATGCATGAATTCATTTCACCTGGGTAATTGGGACACATAATGTAATTATTGCACCTGGTCAAAAGTGATTACTGATGCATTTAAATAGGAATAAACAGAGGAATGTGTCTGAAAACAAAATTACTTTATGGGCAACAGTGTATATGTGTATATATATATATATATATGGCTTTTTTTAAAAAACATTAGCTCTGAACAACTTAGTCACTGTGCATCATTTGTGTGTGTGAGAGAGTATCACAGTTTACATTTGAATGAAATCCTCAAGGGAATCCCAGCAGCCACCTCCCTGTCCCGATGCCCTCATCAGCATTCCCAGCATCTAATTGGGTCTCCAGGCCTCGGTCAGTCCTGCAGCAGCCTGCCTGCTCCACACAAACCAATTACACTGTCAGCTCTTCAAACCATATCTAATATCTGAAATCAGGCGTTTGCTCTGCAGAGCAGAAACTGAGCTGTAGCCGGCCTCCCTGACCCCCGAGTCCTGTTGATAATTAAGAACAGTCTTAAAGGTTTCACTCACTGGTTGCTGCTGCAGATGAAATGCAGCGGTGTTCTCTTGTTATTTACTGCAGTCCAGGTTCATGCTTGTCCTTGTAGCCGTTCCAAATTCTTGTGTTTTTTTGATTCGATGGAAATCACATTTGTCCACTCATGGTTACACAAGAGTGTTTATGTGCTGATACTGATTTAAGATTACATGGTGTGTTTATAGTTGCAGTGATTAGCATCCCACATCAGAGAATGTTGCTACAAAATATTCTACGAATGCTAGGGATGGCGTAGCGTGCATAATATCATCTTTTGGTTTTACCCGCAAAAAGGGCAGAAAAATGTTGTGGTTTCAGTGTCATTCCAGTGTGGACGTGAAGCCTACACTCCCCTCTCTGTTTCTCTAGAGACAGCCATTAAAATTTACATGGATCCTCACGAACATACAAACTGTCGTTCTTGCAGTGGTGATACTGAGAGACTCGGAGAACATGTAACGGAGGAAAAAGGGGCAGATTATGCAGAAACCCATGTCATGGAAACTTCTGCCATGCTCCCTCATCACATTCCCACACAATGAGCGTCTTGTCTGATCTGCAGCAGCTCACAGAGGTCCTGGCTCTCGGGACACGGGCCGTGTCCTGCTACCATGATATAACCAGGAGGGAGACCTTCTGTGGGCCTGGTCGTGGTGGTGGTGGTGGGGGGGCTGTTTACTCAGGTGTACTGTGGTCAACTGTGGTCATGGAGACTGTGGACGGATGGTGATGAGAGAGAAGAAACTGTTTTACTCTGTCTGTGCTATAGACAACAAAGCTTTAAAGCACCGTCATGGTTTGACCTAAGAAAACACTTTAGGACTTTATTGGACTCTTTTGTTTGGACTGTTTGTTTGGTCATATGTTCTTTCTCTTTTGGACACTTCATGTTTGATTGTTTTGGATTAGAATTTATTTGCTGTTTTCCTTTGTAACCACTTCCCTTGTGTGTCTCATGTCGGTTTAATTCCTGTCTTTGTCTTGCGTTTCCCTCCTGGTTAATTGTCTGCCCCACCCTGTTGTGTTCCACCTGTGTTCTGTTACCCTTGCCTCCCTTTTGTACTTAAGAGTCTGTCTTCCCCTTTGTCTTTGTCAGTCCGTCTGTTTCTCTACCTGTTTTACTCCGTTACATTCATTTGTTTTTTTTTTGCAGTTTCCAGTCAAATCGGTTGCGCTCCAGCTTCCCCGTGTTTTCTGATTCTCTGTTTTGTTGTTCCTACTTGTTCTTTTGGTTTCTCCTTTTTGCTATTTAATAAAACACCTTTCTCCACCTTCCCTTCGGTTTGTTTACATTTTGGGTTCAGTTCTTCCTGCAAACCTGACAGCGACCTCATATGACATGTAGCTGGTAGCAAACTGACAGTAGTAGCTGGAGCTCACCCCAAACAGACTCAGAGCTGCAAATCCAGCTGAAGTTTCCAGTTTGGTGGCAGGAGCCTGACTCATCACTGCTGGGCCATGTGATGTTTCCTCTGGCTCCTCTTAATGTGCTCCACACTGGCAAGAGTTGAGTTTCTGGAGCTCTAGCATGATGAGTACCCACCCTGATCCCACAGCCAGGCCAGAGGGGGAATATTAATGGGGCTGTACATCACAGCACATGATGACATGGTTATGAGTGACCACACTGCAGTGTGTAAATCAGAGGCAATATTGAAATAGACAGAGAGGGGGAAAAGGAATGAAGGAAATCAAGGCGAAGGAATCAACAAAACACCAATGAGGCATGTGGGGGAAGCTGTCGGTGACAAAACAGGTCATTCTCTGCAAACAGCTACTTAATATGAATACTTGTCACCAGTTGCTCTTTCCTCTGGTAGAGTCACCCTTCAGCAGAGGAGTCGATGAGCCACTGCAGGTCGACAAGGCCTCTGTATCTCAGTGCTGTCTGTGGCCCAGAGAGGCCGTTAAACACATCTGGAGTGGAGCAGGATGCTCTACAATTTACGACAGGAGGGACAAAACAGAGGTAGAGGGGAAAGCAGAGCATTCATGACTGTGGCGTCATACATCAACTCAGTGTTGTGTGTGAATAACTAAGTGCACCACATGGACAAACCGGACCACACCCTCACTACTCCCATTCAAGGGTTTATCTCCCTGGCACTGATCAGGGCTATGAGGTCATAGCGAGGAGCTGGCCACAGGCATCAGCCCCATGGATCCTGAGCAGCAAACAGGCGTGACTGCTGATCTTCTTCTCAGCTCCGGTGAGATCAGACATCAAGTGACCGAATCCTCTGCCAGAGATACCACGGATAAACACTTCCTTCCTCTCTCTATGACAACTTTCATATCAAATAAAGAAAATGATTTAGCATTTGGACTCTCTTTTTCCCAAAGCAGACATTTGTCCAGACTGTTTCCTCCTCCTCCTCTGTCGTCCATTGCACATCTGGGCTCTCACATGCCAGAGCCGATAAATATATATCTGGAAGTCAAGTGATTTTTTGACAATCAGTTTCTGTGTTGATGAACTTGTGATTTCCCGTCATCAGAGAGGGAAATTAAATGTCTCAATGACCTGTTTGAGTGCGGAAAAAACACATTGACCTGCTCAAAAAGGTAATAATCTTCCCATGAAATCAGCGTAGGCGCTTTCTAATGAGCTGCCCAGACCTGGCCTGGTAACCATGTGCCCTGCCTTTCATGATCTCGAAAGAGCAGCGATACAAAAGCAAAGTGAGGTGATTTTGGTTCATGATTTTCCACAGAATCATTTTAAACACGTCATTAAAATCTCAGAGGCTGTCGTGACCTTTACTCTTTCATGAGGATGAAGGAGATCAACTAAATGTCAGTTGTCTGGCAAAGAGATTATTATTTATTTTCAGATGAAAAATCTGACAGCAGCTAAATAAAGATATCAATCCGTGCTGTAATTTGCATGGTTTGCTTTGTCAGGAGGTGCACTGTGCCAAACTCAACCTGCTTCTTGTCCTCAGAAAGCAAGCCCTGCCTGGATGCTAGAAACGCTCCATACAAACACACATCTGGATGATGTGATTAATGGGAATAACAGCCATCCATTTACATCACAGAGCAGCACTGGCAGGGTAGAGGGCCGTGCATGCAGGTGTGAGCCTCCAAGGTTACTGCTCCGCCGGGGCTTGTTACACTTAGATTTCATACTCTGACGGAAACAGGCGATCAAACCTGGTGCCAATCTCGTGTCCGACTGGCCTCAGTCCTGAACACCCCCACCCTGAACAGGCATGGTGGAAAGGAACATTAGAGGGAGAAAAAAAAGAAAGATCTGGTGGATCTGAGAGCTGGAATAACAACTACCTCACGGAGAACAAGTACAACTATTAAATATATATGGAAACTTTTTTGTGGCTGTGGTTTGACCTCCGGGGGAGCTGAGTCTTTACAGCTTCACTTCTACTGACTGAACACAGCGGCCTGTCCTTTGTCTGAGTCTGTCCCTCACACACAGAAGTGAAGAGGTGAAACCGTTATTTGGGGAAAACAGAAAGAAATGAAACAGAAGAATAGAAAAATTCAAGTAGAACGCGACAATAAGATGCCAATAAGACCACATTTTGGTTTATAACTTCATTTGCTTTGTGTTTAATTATGGATGGTCAAATTTGAAAAGGTTGAAATGGTTTGGATCTGAATTTTTCACCCTGGGAAATGTATCATGCAGTGAGTGTATCACAGCTCTCTGTGTTCAGCTGTATTGTGATTTCACCACTAGATGGCAGGTCAATACAACATTTTATTTTAGTGAATCCTAGTTTCTTACACAATCAGGTTTTACTAAGTGAAGCCTTTACAGCAAGAAGATGCAGAATGATCCCTTTGAGAGTCTTATATAATACATGTTGTTGGATTTATCTTATGGATGCATTCCCATACAGAAATTTAATATATGACTTATATGTCCTTATATGAAGAGTGACGTTGCCATATATGTCACCTGTAAGGGGATATATTATTATCAC